ACTTATCATAACCCCTTCCAACTCACCCATAATGCTGCAAATGGCATGAGTTTATTTATTTTTTGATTACTGCATAGTATCCCATTATGTGTTGATGCCACATCCTCTTGAGCCATTTTTTCATCTGAAAAAAAAATCCCTGGATTGTGACTTCAATATTAGTTGTAGTCATAACTCAACCTGTCTCCGTGATCTTAAGTTACTTTACTTCTCTCACTGCCAATTTCTGGATTCAACATTCTGTTTCCCTGACCACTTTCTTTTTTAACTCTATTTTGTGTGTTTACTTTTATAACTTTCAACAGCATGCTTCTGAACTGGTGGAGACGCAGAAAAGCTCGAACCAATTCTGAAAAGCTGTACAGTCGATGGGAACAGGATAATGACCTTGAATGTTTTGGATCCCTTGCACTTTTCTATGAGTATTTGGAAACAGGTAACCTTCAACCACTGCTTTTCATCATAATCAAGTTGAGTAAAATAAATGTTTTTTTTTTTTTCAGTCCTTAACATTTCTTTCTTCCGTGTACATAGAAGGTTCATTGAACAGTAGATGAAAATATACAAAATATTATTCAGCATGGATTCAACATTTATAATTCCTACCAGGTAGAATGCAAAATAAGTTTGGCTCAATATACCAGTCTTAGAAATATGGGATCAATTGCCATCTCATTTTGTTATTTTGTTTGTTTTAATACAACTGAAAGAATCAATTATAAACCACTTCCAGAGTCGTGCATACATTTAGTGTATATCCTTTATTTCCAGATTGAAAAGAAGAAAACTAACAATAGCTATGTAAAGGAAACCCAAACTAAACATGAGGAATACAAAGGATATACTGAACAGAGAAGAAATATTGAGGCAAAGTTTTAGGATCTGTATTAATTGTATAATCCACTCAGAGTGTTTGCTCTTACATGAACTCTGCTTCTCTTATGGAAGAAAGAAGAACAATTTTCTTAACTTATTCCCAAGGACCATAAAATTATGGTGGAATGAATGAGATGACCTGATAATGTTAATCAGTTTCCACCGTGATATATTCATAGATATATAGAAAGAATATTCATTTATTTTAGTAGGTAACAAGATTGATGTTTATGAGAAGTCTTAGGAGAAATGCTGAAATCCAATATTATGAGAAAAGATAAAATTACATATAACCAAGATTTATTTAAATAAATGACTAGGACAAACTTCTTTCTTTGTTCCTTCAAATGGAAAGCCATTTCATTATCTCTCACTACTTTGTCCTTGCTCATACAGAAAGTTCCAGCAGCCAAAGCTGCTGTCTTTTACCCAATCATAGTTTGTAAAACCATAAACCAAAATCAAAGAGAAGCCAGTTTGCAGAGGTGCTACATCTCAGTAAGGAAGAGGATAAAACTTACTTTAAAAGAGGTCAAAACAGTATAGGTGATAGAGAGATTTACAGTTACCTCATTCCAGATAATGTGCTCTTCTTTTGCCCACCTAAAATTGGTGTTTTTGATGCTTTAGATGGTTCCTTTCCTGATTTTTACATGTCTCAATTTTCACTGCTTTGTCCTTTGGTATGTTCTCCAAATCTGAAATAATGCTTTTTCTCTTTAGATTTTTAGTTGAGCATACTTTTATATGAATCAGTTATTTTTTCTGATCTCAAAAAGTACTTATGCAAGATAGAAAACCTTGATTACCCGATGAATGTACCAATGCCAATATAAATAAAGGGTACATTAGCACAGACCTGAATATAGCTTCTACTATAAAGCAAAGAAGAATCATGGTTTTCTCAGATAAGCATCTCTCAAAACACACATACACACACACAGACAGGACTGAGTACACATGCCCAAATATCTCCTTTCTGTTCTAATAAGTAAATAAAGTCACTATGCTTCCAAATTTGAAGAGGAAATGGGTAGATGGAAAAAGATCTAGAATGTTTTGGTTGGTGCTAGTTCCTCCAAAATGCAGGCAGTGGCAGGGGGTGGACGGTGTTTCCCCTCGCCCCACTACAATAATGAGTTTGTGATTTTCCTTTTGTTCCCCACAGTTATCCAGTTTGGATTTGTTACATTGTTTGTGGCCTCTTTTCCTCTGGCTCCTCTTCTTGCTCTCTTGAATAATATTATAGAGATCCGAGTGGATGCCTGGAAACTTACTACTCAGTACAGGAGACCTGTAGCTGCTAAAGCTCATAGCATAGGTGTTTGGGAAGACATCCTGAATGGAATGGCTATCCTTTCTGTTGCGACTAATGTAAGTACACTGTTTTGGTAAGGTGTACTTGAAGTTTTATTTTGTTTTCTCAGAAATGGGCAGATGTGAATGATGTTTAACTAAGTCAATCTTTGTTATATTTATTCATGGTGACATTTCATAAAGATGGAATATTCCCAACGTTTATGCCTAAGCAATCTAGAGAAATCTAGGATATGCAAATTCTTCGAGTACAAGAATAATTGTAATCATGTGCATGAAAATGTCATGATACAGTTTCATAACGTGTTAAAGTAGACAGAAAAATAGGCCATACCATAAGGACTTCAATAATGCATCAAAACTTGCTTATCAGCTATCCCTCATGGTACAGCAGGTTAAAGCACAGCACTAAGAAACTAAAGCCACTTCAGCATAAGTTCAATCCCCAGCCCCGGAGGTGACGACCCACATGACATGGGAGACCTTTCCTTACCCGCCTGCTGCTACTTCATCAGTTGACCTGTTCTGCCCCGACTCTGTCTCTGGTGAATCCTCTCACTGCCCCTGCACCTCTGTCCTGTACTGTATGCATAAACAAGTAATTCTTAAAAAAAAAAAAATTTAAAAATTAAAAAAAACTTACGTATCTATAAAGTTTTATGCTACAGACAGAATACACAAAATTTAGCTGTTATGTTTTGGAGCACTTATGATGATAAAAATAAATGTCTCACAGCAAATAATCATATTTAACTATAATAACTGTTTAAATATTGAAGTCAATAATGCTTACTCATATAAGAAAATATAATTCTTAATATTAACCCTTTAAATAAGCTTTATTAAATAAGATGAAACAAAGTGAAATGATATAGAAAGTTTAATTTAAATGAAAATCTGTAAGAGTCACTTCATCTGTACTTCAAACCACAGGTATAGAAAAATTCATAGCAATCAATGATTTCATTATTAAAAATAAGATTGAAAAACCTGTACCGAGAATATAACTTAGGGAACGAAGAAATATACATATGTGTGTGTGTGTGTGTGTGTGTGTGTGTGTAGTTAATCAATAGAAAGTAGTAAGAATTAAAGAAAAACAGCAATTGTAAAAGTAAAAGCAATGAACAACTATGGACCAGAGACATTCTATGGGGGCGGAAAGGGGGATATGATCAAAACTGGGGTGGGAAGCGTGCACGGGACTATGGTGATGGCACATGAGTGATTTGGTGGAAAGTCCACGGGGATTACAACTGAGATGAAAAAATACACAAAATGGAGAATGATGAAAAAATAAGTATATTTAAATTAAAAAAGAAAGTAGTGAGAATTAATAAGAAATAATTGAATTAGAAAACAAATAATAACCTAATTGCTAAGTAAGAAGAGTTGCTTCTTAAAAATACAAATAAACTAACCAAACTGTAAAAATCTCAAGCAAGAAAAAAGATACAAGGCACAGGTAAAAAATTAGAGAAAATGCTTATATATGCGTTTATCCCAGTAGTTTTAAATGTATTTGAATTTTCCACTTTTATAGAAAATTATATCTGCCAAAATTTGTGCTGATAGAAAATCTGAATGGAACAGTAGCTAAAAAAGTAACAGTCGAAGTTTTTTTAAAGTACTACTGAAAATGTAGATAGCAGAGGGAGCCAGGTGGTTTTTAAATGGCTCATCTATTATAAAGAAAATGTGCTATTCATACTATTCCAGAGATTAGGAAATGATGGGACAGAGAACATTCCTATAGAATCAAATGTTAAAATTAATTGAACCAAACTGCATATGATCTTCCATCTTCTCTCATTCCCTCCCTGCTAACCTTATCTTCATGCATACACACACACACACACACACACACACACACACACACACACACACCAGAGTCTTACTTTATGAAGTTAGACCAGGTTAGTAAATTGGGTGAAGGATAGTAGATCTATGCATGAAACAATAAAAAAGGAAAGAAATAAAGAGAGATGGTGGAAGACATTAATTTAGTTACAATTTTCAATTTAGCCATACTGTATAACCATGTAGGATTGCTAATCTTGTATTGTAAATTAACTGTTACATAGCTGAGCCCAATGACATTTATAGTAACATAATTTCTATTAGCACTTTAGTCATACATGTATCACATAGAACTGAGAGAGAATCAACATTTAAAAAAATAGGTTGTTGGTTCATAACCTAAACTTTTTTTGTCCTTCAGGCTTTTATTGTTGCATTTACATCAGACATCATTCACCGCTTAGTTTACTACTATGCCTATTCAACAAATACCAGCGAGCCTATGAGAGGATATGTCAACAACAGCCTGTCAGTATTCCTGATAGCTGATTTTCCTGAACGCAGTGCACCGTCAGAGAAACGAGATTTCACTACGTGCAGGTTTCCTATTTTATAGTTTTAATTTTTTCTACTTAAATATATTTTTTAAGTTTTCTATTCCTTTGCTGTCTTACAATACAAAGAATTTATTTGGAGCAATAAAAATTCTGGATAAAGGGCATCATTACTAGAATTCACATGCTATATGATTTGAATTGGAAAGGTAGAATTTCTAAAAATAACAGAAGGTAAATAATACCAATTTTGTATTGGTTCTTTTAAAATTGATTAGAAAGCTTTTCCACCAGCATTTTTTGGGGCCCCGCTGGTCCTAAGTTACAATATCTAGATCATCAGCATGAACATATTACATCTGCATTTATCCTACTTGGATTTGATTGTGTGTCCTTGAAAAGAGAGAAAGTGAGAGAGAAATATCAATATGATTAATTCACCAGCCATCCTATTTAAAATTTTTTTTTTCTGTGCAGGAAAGGGTGAAGGCTTCTGTATATCATGTATTATAAGGGTATTTTTACCCTGGAAATTAAATTTTATATGTGTGTATGTTCATGATATATGTGCACACACAAATTTATTTCACAGATGTGTCAGATTTCTTAATGCCATCACTCACTAAAGTGGAATTAATCTTCGAGGAACATAGCTATATAGCAACCTTTAGAAAACAATGAGCTCACAAAGCTGAACTCTAAGAAAATCCCAGAATAGTAAATTAGGGCCCTCCCTGGTGGTGCAGCTGATTAAAGCACAACATTATGAAACTACCGCAGCCTCTGTAGCATGAGTTCAATCCCTGGCCAGGGAGGTGACCCACATGGTGTGGCAAACCTCTCCTGACCCACTCACTGCTCCCCTTAGCAGTGTATTTCAGTAGATCTGCCTGTTCTGCTCCCCAGTCTGTCTCTGATGAATTCTCTCACCACCCTGAATCTCTGGCAGGTATCTCTGTATAAAATAAATCTTTTTTTTATTTTTTTTTTATTTTTTAAGAATAGTAAATCAGTTAAGCGAAGAGCAAGTAGTTTCAAGAAAATAAAAATAGTCAAAAATGTCAAGTCCTGTCCTTAAAAGATTTAAATTTATCTTCAGTTTAGTAACAGGAGACAACTGGTTTAGTATAATGATGGATAGAACTAAGGAGTAGAAAAAGAGGAATAGAGATAACAAATTTTGCTGACTCTTCTGAGTTATTTGTCTTTGAAAGCAAGGAGAGAAATTTCAATTGTGTCTCCGATTAAAGCCATAAATAACAGATGGCTAAGACATTAATCTATACAAGAAAGATAAAAGTTTCACAATTAAAACTATCTTCTTATGCTTTGAATTTTGTAACTCACTAAAAAGATTAAGAAAAATAATTTATGTTAGGGCTCTATTTGAAGCATTAACTAACTTTTTGTACTTACTTCTGTTTTTCAGGTATAGAGATTACAGATATCCTCCTGATCACGATCAGAAATATTTTCATAATATGCAGTTCTGGCATGTCCTTGCAGCCAAAATGACCTTCATCATAGTTATGGAAGTAAGTCTTTTCCTAAAAGTATCTGCTCAGCAGATTTTTAACATTCCTTCAATAAATTGTTTTGAAGGAAATGTCTATTCTAATAAAAAGTACCTTATTAATATTTTCTGAATAACAGATTACCTATTATTCACTTACTTTTGCTGAAGTAACCAAGGTGACAGAAAAGAAAAAAAAAA